CAGCCAATTTTGAAAGAGATGCATCTTAGCTCTGGAAATTGTTATTGAATATGTGAATGCTGTTGTAATGAAATGCCTCTTCTAATTATATGGTTATTAAATAAATAATTTTTTAAAAGTCTATCTACCTTGAAATTGGCACAGTATAAGGAAGCCCAAACTAGTCACATTGGAAAGATAGAGAGAAATCACATGTCCCAACCAGCCTAGCCCAGGCTTAAACATGTGAGGTAAGAAGCTACCTTGGACATTCCAAGCAGACATACTATGGAAAAAAGCACAGAGACCCAGACAACACTACAAATCAAGATCTCAGGCAGGTGGCCCCAATCACACCTTCCCAGATGTCTCCAACTATCCAAGGCACTCTATCGGAAAACATCGTAGAATGTACATAACACTTCTATGCTAACTTTTTCACAAATTCCTCACACACAAAATATGAGCCTGATAACACAGTGGTTGTTTTGGACTACTAAGTTTTGGGACTAGATCATTATGAAATGGCTAAACATTTAAACCCAAGGAAGGTGTTTACCACACATAATACTTACCAGTGCTATCTACATAAACTATGCTCCTGAGCAAAATGGTATTACAACAATATATAAGAAAAAATGCATGTATTCTTTTTTCCAGATATCTAAGATGTTATTATTGGGCAGTTCGAACTTTAATTGCTATTGGAGGCCTTCCTGAGCCACAAACTTCATTTGAAATTGTTTTTTAACTCTTGAATTTTTTTTCTGGAATTTTTGTGTTCTCCAGCCTAATTGGTCAGGTAAGTTGATTGTGAATCCCTAGACACAAAGTATTTTCATTTTTGAAATACTAATAAGTGTTTATAAATTTTATGGAGGAAAAATTAAAATCCGTCTGGTTGTTCTTTTCCTGCTCCTCCTCCTCTTCCTTATCCTCCTCCTTCCCCTCTTCCTCCTCCTCCTCCTCCCTCTGCCATCTTTCATCTATTAAATGACATAGAATAGGTTTGTGTGTCAACATTGCAACAATGACTTTTTTGAAGACAGACTCTTGCTACATACCTTTGAGCTTATTGTCCTCCTTCCTTTCATAGAGAAGTGGATTCAGACCTCAAGTGCTGGAATGGCATATGTGTGCCACCATAGCCAATTGCCTTTCCATTTTTAGACCATTAAATCTGTCGAAGACTTACCAGCAAAGTTTGTTAGGCTATAGAACACTTTTCATAGGCAGTGAAAACATTGTTATTCATGATTAAGTAGTCTTGAACCTAAGCCAAGGTGTTTCAAATAGCATTCGATGTTGTTCTATGGCATAATGGCATGCTCAGTGCAAAGTGTGCCTGTGATGTGTTCGGAACCAAAGCCTCAGTGAATTTGTACACTACAGTATGGGCAAGCCATGCCAGAGACACCTTGAATTCATTGCATATTTAATTTTGAATTAATTTTTGGTCATTGTACATTCAGAAACATTTTATTGCTACCAAATTTTTACAGCCCCCACATTCCGTTACACAGCCCCATATGGAGGTATGACAAGGCTCAGGAACCTGGGTACAAGATGACAAAATCATTAATCTCATTGGAGAAATCATGATTCTCACTCACCACACTCACAACAGTATGGATGAAATTCATGCTGTAACAATAAGAACTACTCAATAAGATATTTGATAATGATCAAAACATTTCAAGCCTCAAATAATGCATCCAAGAATGTCAAGGGTCTGCCAAACATGCCAGGCACCAGAGAGGTTTGGAAGCTCTGTATGATTTCAAAATGGGAAGCCTCCCAAGAGGTTTCATGAAGCAGATGTATCTGAGGCATTTTCAAAAGCGAAATGGTAACCAGTCATCATCAATAAGCAGTTCAACAGATCAGAAACAGTAAATGAAAAGATGCCAGTAAGCCTCAGATGTGTTCAAGGAAACAGAAAGAGGTCCAGAATTAATGCTATAAAGGACCTCTGTAAATAAGAAGTAGATGCAAAGATTCAATATTTTAAGGGTTCTGAATATCAGATTTGAGTTTTACCTTGAAAGCAATGGGAAGCCAGCCTCTGGAGGACATTGGACAAAGAGACTCATGGTTAATTATATCAACCAGAAAGGATAATTGTTTTTAAATGTTTTATTATTACTTTTGGTGAACATCAAGAGCAAATGCTATTGAAAATATAATTTGCTACACTCACGTATCTTAAAAGGAAAGTGCATACCACACCATGAAGGTGAGGGCATTGAACAAAATAGGGAATTATCAGGGAAGGAAGGAAGGAATGGACCTGGGTAAACAAGATGAGGGTCAGGTAATTTGAATAATTTTACTGGGCTTTGAGCTGTAAGGCTATTTCTCTGACGCCTAGTACAGTCATATGGGACAGATATATAGTGGCTTAGATGTGGGAGACTATATGACAGCTATATAATGAAGGCATTTGGGAATAGGGATTATGAGTTAGTTTGCATTATGAAAGGCACTTTCAGGGAAGTTGGTCACTATCTGTTGCAATCAGCTATCATTGCAAGGGGCAAGCAAGGCTCTCAGTCAGGAAGCCTTTAAAGGCAAACACATCAAAATTCAGAAAATAGGCATATGGGTAATGCCAATGCACAGGGACATGGCAACTCTAGTTTGGTCTTATTAGTGAACTAAAAAGGGTGATTGGAGCAGAAACTCCATTTGGAAAATGAGTATCAAGCAGTTAAAACTTATGTGTAAAATATTATCTCAGTGGCTGGGGAAATGTGCTAATGGTTGAAATAGGAAGGTAATTAGATAGAAATTCAATTAAAATTTATTGGAATGGAAGTAAGAAAAAACCCACATTATTTCATAGTCATAAAATCCATATGAGGTACACATTGTTTTATCAGTTTTACAGATGAGGAAACTCCAGTCTAAAGAGATTAAGAGGCACTGCCATTTCACACTTATAATTCATACTGTCTTAAAAATGGAACCATGTACAATAATATTGGCAATCAAAGCAAAACTTAACACATATAGAACACTCAGTATGTGCAAAACAATTTTCAAAAGACTGAAAAATGATGTCTATGTCCTATAATCCTAGCAATTAGGAGGTAGAGGCAGGAGGATTGCCACAAGATCAAAATCAGCCTGGTCTATAGAGAAAAATTGTGGCCAGCCAGGACTACAGGGTGAGACTCTGTCTCAAAAGGAAAAAGAAAAAAGAAAAAGAAAAAGGGGAAACAGTGTCTTCCTAGCATCAATTCAAATCTCTTACCACTCACTACAACAATTGCAGCCATATCGCTTGGGGATTCTGAATTTGGACTCTACTGTAGACCTACTCAATCAGACCCTGCATCTTAACAAGATCTTTGCATGATTCTTATAAATGAATGTTTGAGAAGTGACACTTTATATACTGTAACATACCTGACCTTAAATTGAATTTGAAGCACTAACAGGAACTGAAATCACAGAAATTGTGGTACTGGAGCACAAGAGAAAGTTGGAAGCTGGATATAGATTTACATGCACCTTAATCTCTCATAGTAAATATGAATAGAAGATGCTGAGAAGGAGCCAGATAGATGCAAAAGCAAGATATCCTGGGATAAAATTTCCATGTATCAAAATTCATACATGTAACCACACTAATGACTATGCCCCACAATCACTTTTCACTAGTCTGTGATGCAACTCATAAAGCCTGATATTTTCTAACACTCACTCCTGTGCTTCCCTAGACTGAAACCCATTGTGTAATACAAATTGTCCTCAATTCGTACACCAATGAAACCCACCATCGCTAAAGGATAATACAGAAGACATTCAGATTACTATAGTACTTGGGCTCTCAAGATTTAATGTTTTAAGTTGTCTTTGGTTCCCAACTATCTCCCAACCCAACCCCTAATATACCAAGTCTCACGGCCTTAAGAAAAACTGCATAAACGTGTTTATCTGTCAAAAGCAGATGGAAAACAAAAATCTGGGAATTAAGGTTGTAGAATATTCGGAGAGCCATTGAAGAGTAAGAGACTGAAAAATGGATACACTGGATTGTCTCTGAATGTCCTCAGCAAATACTTTTAAGAAATAGAAGAGCCCATTAACTCTAAAAATGTAAACTGAGAGGCCATCATGATAAATGGTATCTGAGCTATATCAAAAAAAAAGTAGTTTTTCCATAAGCAGAAAAGTCTCCACAGCTACTAGAATGAATGAGAAAAGTATTCGTGTGAAAGAGAAGCCCTAGTTTCCCTCTATAATAAACCCACAGTCAAAGCAAATTTGCAACCACTTGCTTCCCTCTCTGTGAGAGGAAGAGGCAAGCAATATATCTTTTTTTGTGCTGAGACCTTAAAGCTCAGCTTTTAACCTAGAGTGGGTTTTTATGGCTGAGTTATAAACATCTGAGAACTAATCCTGACAGTTCCTTAAGTATTGTCACAGCAGTAGACAATGCTTCAGTAATTTCAGCACATTTCAACTTCTGCTGAATACTATGCCTTGAGCATGATAAGATTTGATTTTATCTGTCTAAACAACACAAAGGGAAGTACAGAGGTTGAAACTGCATGATAAACTGAGCCTACAAAGCCAACCAACACTGGCTCATCTGTGAAGGATACTTTTACAGTGAGGCTCATCAAAATGGACTAGCTGTTCTGCCAAATAACTGCTCAGCTTTCATTACACTTGCTTTGCATATGTGCAGAGGGTATAGGTGCTTTAAAATGTCAGTGATCATTTCCACAGTAACACAAAATTTGTGAAAATGATGTGAAGTCACTTGCATTATGAGATTGAATCCCCACAAAATTCTCACATGATTGTTATGATGGGTCTTATTGCTGTCAGAGAGAGAATGTCATTTCCCCAACATTTTAACTGAAATGGGTGAAATTAAGATCTGATGTGAGTGTGTTAAAATCGGGTAGTTAGGGCATTATAAAGGTATGCTTAAGGACAAATAATGGGGTTGAAATTTCTCTCCTGGGTTTGTTGTTTTAGATGCGCGATATAATTGGGGCAGCGACAGCCAAAAAGAACAGCTTCCATATCTCATGGACCATATCACTGCCTACATGAACAAATATTCCATTCCTCAAAGTGTGCAGAATCGAGTTCGGACTTGGCTGAAATATACATGGAACTCTCAAAGAATACTAGGTAAGCATTTACTGCTTAAATTCTTCTAAGCCTTATCACATAATGAAAATTATGTTAACTGAAAGAAGAGATAAATTGGATTTGAACAGCAGATTGAAAAGGAATAATTTCTAAGGCATTAATTTAATACCATACCAATGATTTTTTTCTTAAATGTAGAGCCATATATTTTTTGGAAGGCAAATCTTAAAAGAGAAAGGTTAAATTTTATTCCGTCCTACCAGATGCTAGGAATTACATGTTACCTTATCATACACACACACACACACACACACACACACACACACACAATAATAAATAAATAATAAATAAATTAAAGGGAAAATGAGGGGCTGAAGAGATGGCTCAGCAGTTAAGAGCACTGATTGCTCTTGCAGAGGACCTGGGTTCGAGTCCCAGCACCCACATAGCAGCTAAGAACTGTCCTTAACTCCAGTTCCAGGGGAATCCAACGCCCTCTTCTGACCTCCATAGCATTGCACAACACAGGTACACTCACATACATGCAGGCAATACACTTGTACACATAAAATATAAATTAAATTTAAAAAAAAGAAAATTGAGTTCCATTGACCCCTTTTCAGAGACAAGGAAACAGCAGAGACTCCTAACCCAACTGAGACATTTGGTCAAGGATGCAGAACCACCAAATGGTGAACTGCAACTCAGCCTGGCATCTGTTCTCCAAACTCCTGCTCTGTGACATCTCCCTCTCCTGGGAGCACAGTGTGCAAGAAAAGCAGCAAGCTCTCCAGCCATTCTCACTGCACCACATGGTTTGTAGTTGTTTCTAAGAGACCCTTAATCAATGCTGTCTGCTCTACAACTACAGCACGGAAGCTCAAAATAATTTTTTTATTATTATTACACTTGTACAATCTTTTACTCATTATAAACTCTATAAGACACAAAATTAAATGAGGTTTTAACATTTAAAAAAGATCTCCACTTCGTTGTTAAAATACACAGTTTCATACAGAAAAATTCATTTCAGGGCTCTTGACATTGAGACGTTTTCACATGCATTTCTAATCTCTATATATATATGACTATTACTGGTCACAGTCGCTTACTTTCTGAGTTCCTTGGCATCTGAGTATGAATATAAACTCATCAGATAGACAGCCTTCCTCTCCCACTAGAGCCTCCATACTCTGTCATCCCTGCCACTGTCCACTGTGTTGTCAGGACCCCCATCTATTCCCCTCTATCTGCCCTTCTGGTAAATCTAGTCAGCCAGAGGTCCCTGTTCCAGGAGGATCAGCCATTCCTCATTTACGGCAATCCATTGTCATTATTCCTTTGGATAGAATTGGGGTGAACCATATTATTCCTACAATCTACTGACTAATTATACATAACAGATCAAGAAAAATATCTCTAGATAAGGTTTATTTGAGACCAACTGGTCATTACCCAAGATTTATCTGCAAGACACACAGTAATTAAAAATGCCAGAATGGTGGAACTAACCTTCTTGGATGTT